TATCGACTCAGGAATGTTATCTCTATGCGCTCATAGCTGCAAAACGCGGTACTGCAAAAGCTCTGCCCACAAAAATATTAGTTCGGTTTCTTTTGGGTACCCCATCGTATATATATAATTAGTGGCTTTGTTACATTGTGTAAGATTTGAAATACAAGTATGCCCACATTTGGGTAGTAGTTGCGTTAGTAAATTAAATGGAATTGGTTTCTGATATATCCTGATCGGTATTAATTTAGTGGGCGAAAACATAGATACCACAATAAAGAACAGTAGGGAAGTTGGTCTAGGAAGAAGAGCAGAAGGATCTAAATAAATTGTCGCATGACTGTAGACGAGATTTAGATTGTTAATCGGATTTATTGGACACTTTAACACACAACTCGTGACTGCACTCTCTTCATTGCTGTGCTTGGTAAAGTCTTCCAACAGTCTACGTTCCTCTGCTTCCGGGCTCAAATCGTCGCAGGCTGGCGGACATCTCACACCGACCTCCAGTTCTTCTCACTGCCGTCTCAAGTCTCATAAGTCAGAGTCAGAGTCAAATACTCTCATAATGGCAGCTGGCCCTCGTTATATAGCCTCGGCACGGTCCGCACAGAAAACACCTCTTCCAACAGTTACGCCATTGTTGTGTGTGAGTCTCTTGCGGCGATCACGTGAGGGCTACTGAACCATTGCCTAGCAACGCGCGTGTTTGCAGAGTCTTTCCCTAACAACGGCTGTTTCTTCGGCTCCACGGTTCCGGCTTTGAGCAAATGTGCCACAATATGTACAGGTTTCGTCATTAGACTTCAAGGCGAAATGCTAATATTATGGCACATAACATCCTTCGGAAATGTAGCAGAGTTCAAGTATTTGGGAATGACAGTAACAAATAAGAATTTCATTTACCGAGAAATAAAGAACACGTTGAATTGTTGGAATACTTGATACTGTTAGTATTGTGTGTCCCCTCTGCTGCCTAGAAACGTGCACTACAGTTGCATCTGTTATTTTATATGTACACGAAACTTGGTCTCGCGCTCGAAAGAAGAACGTAATTTGATGATCTCTGTAAATATATAAATTGATGGTGTTGGAGATTGGGGTGCTGAGAAGAAGATATGGACATAAGACCGGGGAATTAACAGGAGGGCTGGGAAAACTACGCAGTGTGGGGCTTCCTAATTCGTACTCAACAGACATTATTATTAGGGCGATCAAATCGTGGAAGATGAGACCGATTGTGCATGCAGCACACATGGAAAAAAACGAGTAGTGCATATTACAACATTTTCTGATAGCCTTAATCTAAGAGGGCACTAGGGACAAATGCGCGTAGATGACAACGTGCTATTGGTATTGATCTTAAGGAAATGAGGTTTGAGAATATGGGCTGGGTGTCTGTCTCAGTGTAGATTCCAGTTGCGGGCTCTTGTGAACACGGCAGTGAAACCTTGGATTTCGTAAAGGGCGACTAGCACAGCGACACTCAGCTTCTCAAGGAGGACTTGCACCCGTAATTCGAATTCCAAGGGAACTGGCACGTTGAGGAAGCATAAGACGCGCGCCAGTTTTTTTTTATGGGACCGCCTCTGTGGTCTAGTGGTAAGAGTTCCTGGCTTCAGATACAGAAGTCCCTGGTTCGATTCCCGGCGCTACCAGATTATCTGAGAAGTAGTGAGTCTAGAACAGGGTCCACTCAACCTCGTGAGGATAATTGAGAGCTATTTCAAAGAAATGGCGGCTCCGGTCTATAAAACCGAGATTAACGTTGCGCTGACCACGTGACACCCTCTATCCGCAAAAGTTGGCATTAACTTCACCGACAAGCGGCGATCGCTCAGTCGGTATAGTTCGCTGGGCGGACTACAGGCCACGGAATTTGTTTATTGTTTACAATTTGTTATTAATCGTAAATACGCGTTTAATTCAGATTTACGCATAAATAAAGAACCACTTCTATCACGTTACTTGTCAGTCCCCAGAATGTAAAGATGAGTAATGGCTTTCATAGGCCAGTTAGGTAAATTTGTGTAAGTAGTCCCTTCCGTTCAAGGCCTGTCTTTCGGTTGAGATACCTTTCGAGTTGCTGTGAAAATTTTGTTTTCGAATACATGTGTCAAAGAGCTTGTTAGGAAAGCTAAGACGATGCCATGCTCCCAAGATTGCAGATGTTTTGCTTGTTAACAATCAGCCTCTCTGAATGCACGTACGAATCATTTCTCGGACCACAGAACGCAACGGCGCCTTTACAATTGCCTAAGGGATATGGCGCCGCATATGAACTGCCCATAAATGCATTTTCTGGAGAGACTGATGTATTTGTAAGGATAGCTGGTTGCAGGGCCAAGGTTTTTGAATTCTGGACCAGTGGAATACGAACCAGGAATGTTATTCGCTCAACGGCGACGTGTTTAGTTTTATCGCTACCGCGTGTCCACATCTCTGCAGGAGTTTGTTTTGGTTTCATTGCAATCGCAGCATGGCGACTGTCCAGGATGGAGCTAAAATAAAATTGGCACATCTGTGTGTTTTAAACAGAACACGCCGAAAGGAGGCAATGTTGGAACAGCCGCGTCGTCATTGTGCATGGTCCCGAATTGGGGCATCGAGCAAAATATACAACTCGAAATGTTTGGGAATGTTTCTGCTGTGGGCTGTTCAGAGTTGTGACTGTACTCGGGGAAAGTAAGCCGCACGCCTTTCCTTCCGACGTAATTGGGATGTCCGTGGCCACTAGAGGGACTTGCTACCGGAAAAAAAGGACGATTCTGACATTCAAGGACTGAATTACAGCTTCGACAGTTACATAACACAGAATGATATAGGAAGATCATGACTGATGAGTAGGGAAGCATCTGGAAGGAGGCGATCGTTGTCTGTTACACTTATAACCGGAAGAAATCACGAAATTTTTCGTCACGATAAATGGTAAGGAGGCCGAGACTCGCACCGAGTACCTTCCGAATGCAAATCCAGAGCGTTACCAGAACGCCGGCGAGAGACATGAATACTGCGGTTCCTGGACCAGTGTGCAGAGTTTGTGGACTGATCTCTTATGTTCGCACGAACACACTGAATCTCATTACATTCTCCTTATGAAGGTAAGAGCGGCAACATCGGCCTGTATTTGGAGCTACAAGGTTGCGATGTTGTTACGACATCCGCTTGAATTTCACTGTCTTAGGCTCGACACTACATGCTGAACAGTGCGTTCTTGCGATTTGACAACATCGTGCACATATCTGTTATTGGCCTCCTGTGATTGAAATAATTGATGACGTAGAAAAAGTGCATGTGATTAGTCTGTACAGTATCAGTCGCTTTGGTGTTACATCTTCAGTTTTCAAAAACACAGTATGACGTCACGAAAAGAAAACAGGTAATTACATATAATACTTGTTCTCGTACAAACACAAAATATTTCGTTGTGAAGTTACAATAGAGGGAAGATGTTAAAGTATCTTAGACTTGTTGACGCTAATTCAGTTCTCACCTCGTGACAATCCTTGCTACTTCTGAACTAAGTGTGGCCCGCCGTCTTGTTTGAATCAAACACTATATAAATAGTCACCGTGCTTCAGTTGAATCTCTCTTTAGTTCCTGCAATGTCCTCGTTTCCAACCAACCCATTCAGTTAAACAGCAGTACATGGATAAATGGGCGAGTTCTGTTATCTCGGCACTCTAACGTAAACATGGATAAATGGGCGAGTTCTGTTATCTCGGCACTGTCTAATGTAAACATGGAGAAATGGGCGAGTTCTGTTATCTCGGCACTCTCTAACGTAAACATGGATAAATGGGCGAGTTCTGTTATCTCGGCACTATCTAATGTAAACATGGAGAAATGGACGAGTTCTGTTATCTCGGCACTCTCTAACGTAAACATGGATAAATGGGCGAGTTCTATTATCTCGACACTCTCTAATGTAAACATGGAGAAATGGACGAATTCTGTTGTCTCGGAACTGTCTAATGTAAACATGGAGAAATGGACGAGTTCTGTTATCTCAGCACTATCTACGGGTAATATAAACATGGATAAATGGGCGAGTTCTGTTATCTCGGCACTCTCTAGTGTAAACATGGATAAATGGGCGAGTTCTGTTATCTCGGCACTCTCTAATGTAAACATGGATAAATGGGCGAGTTCTGTTATCTCGGCACTCTCCAACGTAAACATGGATAAATGGGCGAGTTCTGTTATCTCGGCACTATCTAATGTAAACATGGAGAAATGGACGAGTTCTGTTATCTCGGCACTCTCTAACGTAAACATGGATAAATGGGCGAGTTCTATTATCTCGGCACTCTCTAATGTAAACATGGAGAAATGGACGAATTCTGTTGTCTCGGAACTGTCTAATGTAAACATGGAGAAATGGACGAGTTCTGTTATCTCAGCACTATCTACGGGTAATATAAACATGGATAAATGGGCGAGTTCTGTTATCTCGGCACTCTCTAGTGTAAACATGGATAAATGGGCGAGTTCTGTTATCTCGGCACTCTCTAATATAAAATTAATGCAGAGGAGGTAACTGCATGGTCCGAAGACGAGTTGTCGGAATTTTTGCGCTGACCACAGCAACGTAACAGCATTCATGGCCCGAGTTAGAATCTCTACTTGGAGGAATATCTTTATTTTCTTCGGCCCCTCCTGAAAACTTCCATTACAGTTACCTTAACCAGATCACATTCGCTTCCTTCTACATCCTATCCATTTCGGCATTCGATACAACAAGCCTACGTATACACTATGAAAACATTAAGGCGTCGTTAGATTAGTAAATAGACGAACAACGAGATGTCCCATGACCAAGGTCGAAGTATAATTTCAGTGAGGAGAGGAAAAATATCGCCAGTCACGTCCCATTTGCTTTCTTTAGCTTATTCTGACAAAATGAACTCAACAGTAATCCGTTTGATACATGCCACTCCTTATCTGCCTGTGGATGGTTAGATAAGATTAGCCATGTGTGAACTGTCACGTACAGTGCTTTATTGTTTCAGGAGAAAATGGCTACCTCCTCCTCTCCGGAAGCTCAGCCAAGGGAAAGTGGAGAAGGGTGCTGCCTCCACCGCCCCCGACCGGCCACCCCTCAAGAAAACAGTGTCCGATAAGAGGTTTAAGGTATGAAAAAAAATCCGTTCATTTACAACTCTCGTATACACGTTGCTCTGGGCAGTGGCAAGGTTGCTTCGGGCAGTGGCAAGGTTGCTTGTCCTGATTCGCGTTGTTCCTATGTCCAAGCAAAACTTCTTGTCGATAATACCTCAATAACTAATGGTTTATTTTTCACTGAAACCCCTTTATATTGATCGTCATCATGTGGTTAGTCTTTACTAATAAAGGCAGTTAAATAAATCGCTTGAACCAACTTTCATTGCTGGAGATTGGATCCATCCCCAGTGGGAATGTACGTGTGTTCTAAGTATCTTAAGATTTAACATACAGTTTTAGGTTTAATTACATATTTGAATGTTATTCGTGTTACTTAAGCTTCCTACTGTAATTGGATCAGGACACGCGGTAGCTCAGTTGGTTGATGCACTATGCTACAAACCGGAAGGTCGCGGATTCGATTCCCGATGCCGTTGGATTTTTCAGTTGACCTAATCATTCCAGCTGCAAAATGACCCTGGGGTTGACTCAGTCTCTAACAAAAATGAGTACCAGGAATCTTCCTGGGTGTAAAGAGCAGCCGGCTCGTAAGGCTGACAACCTTACTGCCATCTGTGAGTCGATTTTCTAGAAAATGTGGGAGCCTCGACGTTTCACAACCCTGTGGGCCTCCACGGCCGCTTACAGACATAAACTTTACCTTTACTTTAATAGAATCCTTTCTTCGACCAGGAAAAATAGTATAAACTTATCTTTGTAAAAATTTCCGCCTAATGATAAGCATAAGTTGATTGAAACATGTCTTGGTTTTGATGAAATAAGCAAGAAATAGTTATTTATGAATGTTGCGTGGATGGTTTATGATCAGGAAGGATTTTTGTGCAGAAGAATGTAAAAGCTAAAGTTCAGCAAGGCGGTGGTCCACACGTTCTTGACCTCGATGCCAGATAGAGATATATGTATTTGCAGTTTCATACTACGGTTTAGTTTTAGTTTTTGGGGGTGGGGTCACCCCATAGGGTTATGAGACGTAGGCTCTCGCCCCACTGGGGTGAGACTGAGTCCACTTGGTACGTCGGCCTATTGTACCAGCCACAGGTAATAGATGATTATGAAAGTGGAGCAGTCTGTAGAATGAGAATTGTCAAAGGGAGCCGAAGTACTTGGAGGAAAACTGTCCCAGTGCCACTTTGTCCACCACAAATCCCACCTGCCCTGGGCTCGAACCCGGGCCGCCGTTGTGGGAAGCCGGCGACTAACCGCCTGAGCTATGGCACGGTCTCATGCTACATTACTTCCATCCAGTACACAAGGCCAGCGATTTCGTTGGGCCTCTGAGTCGGTCTGGACGTGGTCATGAAGAGGGAACTCTGACCATCATGGAAGTCGAGACACTCCGTTTCATAAATGGTCGATAGTATATTTTGTTTAGATCATAAAGTGGGCTTACGAAATGAAAGATTCCCCCACTGTATTTTGAGGCACACCCACGGTATGAAGTCCAAAATTGCACACAGAGCAGTCGAAAGTAAACAGGAAGCGAGCTAAAAAAATTGAGAGATAACTTCATTGTCAGTTCTTACAAAGTGATGACACAGAACAGTTCCACCGGTATTTGATCTCTGGCCCCGTATGCTTGTGACGTGGCAATCATTGTCACGGGTGGAAGAATGTATCGCTTTTGTTGAGCCTTCGTTGTCAGCATCAGACAGCGTTCACAAACTTAGGCTGTCACAGGACGCACACTGGAACACAAGTCGCAAGTGAACGGGCCCTGGCCACCCCGTCACTGTCTGCAGTCGGACGGCGCTGTTCTTATTCATGTACGTAATGGTAGTTGTGAGGGGGCTGGTTTGATTGTTGTTTTGTTTCGTAGTATGATGTTGATGGTGTTTAGTTTGATTTGCTACTTTGGTTACTGGATATGTACAGGTATGTAGTCTATTTAGTGGGTAATTGATATTTGATAGTTTACCTGTATGCTCGTGTGGGCTACGTAACTGGTATAGAAAGACCAACAAACGGATATTGTAATATATCGCAGTTGATGACACAAAATTAAAAATTTCAGTGTACAGATAGACCACATAGAAGGCTATTATAATACATCGCAATTCTTGGCACGTATGCAAGCATAACTATCAAGTATCATTTGCTTGCTAAACAGACTACGCATATGTCCAGTAACCATAGAAGTATAGAACTGCGATTTCCAAAAGTCGTTGGGCGTACATTGATATCAGAAAGACGACCGAATACTTTCCATTGTGCAGAATGTTGCACTGTTTTCAGTACATTGAATATATCAGAATGTAGAAATGACACTTAGGCCGTAATTTAATGTACGAGACCTCTGTTTGAGCTCCAAACAAGTCGAGAGTAACTAAGAAACGTAGAGCACTAGAGCAATTGTAGATGTGTAATGAGGTCATGGCTGAGCGGGAGAACCCTCTGTGCTTTCACATGCTTCCTGCTAGCAGGATGCATGAGCCATGTGCTCTGAGTTACTGGAACAGCCGGAAATGACGTTTCCTTACGCAGCCATATCAGAACAAACTCGCTTCACGCATCACGTTCATACGTAGAAAACCGAGTGTTACAAGTTTCCAGGAGGGTATGTTGTAGGCTGCCTGTGTCTGCCTATCCGCTTTACATTCCATCTTCCAAGCCAATAAAAGATTTCGATTTGATACTGGGATTTCCGTTCCAAAAACTTTAGGATGAATTTAACGTTAGTTTTTGTTGGTCCTTGGGCGAGACATGTCGGCGAAATGTGAAATGCAGTATGAATTTAGTTCGTGAACCTGAAGGGAAGAGGCACTCGGAAGATATACATGTATGTATGTATGTATGTAAGAGGTGGGCCATAAAAACCGGCCCCCGCACTGCGCCCTTCAATGATCTGTTGTGCTTAAGATATACACGTAGTACATGGAAGGGTGGTATTAAAAGGGATGAATGCATGAGAATGTGGACTAGTTTCATCTAATTCTGGACAGGGAGCAGTAGCGGGCTTTTGTGAACACGGAAAATGACCTTTCGGATTTCATAAAGGCGGGGAATTTCTTTACTAGCTTCTTACGCAGGGCTTTGCTCTATGGAGTTGCTTTAATCGGTCCACTGCAGAGTTCACATACCACATACGTCTCTGTTCCTAATTTTTTGCGGGATTTTGTCATTTGCCGAAGTACATGAACGTGGCGCTCCGTCATGGCTGTTGCTGTGCTCGGAGTGGTGGTCGATGTTGTTTTTGAGTGACAACGCTGAACGCACGAGGGCTCTGCTTGAAGTCTGTCAGTTTTACTTTACGTTCATTTTTATAAACTTTCCGGTGCGTTTTGAAGAGACGCCAGAATGTTTAGTTGTATTACTAATTCATGGTTGGTAGAAAGTGCGAGTCATCGCGCTATCCATCATCGAGGCTGTCTTCACTGGACGAGGATTTGGGCCGAAGTAGAGGCCTACAGATTTGCGAGTGTGCTGTAAGTTCGTGTCAGAAAGGACGCGAATGGCTCCAAAACTTTTGAACTAAATGTTTTACATTCCGGAGTAGAGCTTTCGGAAAATATCGGAATATCCGAGAGTTGAGGTTTCACGGCTGTGAATATTCGTAATGTGGTCCTTTGGGTTATATTGGGCACAAACGTTGTTACTGACCAACGCCGTGTGACCGCAGTATGAATGAAATATCGGTCCTGGATTGGGTGCTGTAGTCCGGTGGGCTCCGTTTTGGGATTCTTTTGACTTAAGAAAGATATGACAAGGCTCTTAGGCTCTTATCGTAGGCGTTACAGTCTCTTCATCTGACAGGCTGAATTGTTTCGGTGCACGAAATAGCCTGGGACGTGGAAAGAAAGGGTTTTTTTTTTTTGGGGGGGGTGAGACTGAGTGCACTTGGTACGTCGGCCACTAAATGGCCTATTGTACCAGCCCCGAATGATAGATGATGGTTAATGTTGAGCAGTGGCTGGAATGAGAATTAGCAGGAGAAACCGAAGTACTCGGAGAAAACCTGACCCAGTGCCACTTTATCCACATGACCTGGCCTGGGCTCGAACCTGTGCCCCCGCGGTGGGAAGCCGGGGACTAACCACCTGAGCTATGGCACGGCCTGGGATTAAAAGTTAGAATGTTTCCAGACATCGAAGTATCTCTAAGGCAGGAGAAGCCTACAAAGTGCGTACTAAGTCATATTATCCCTGTGTGATGCATAGGTACATCCACAGCGGCCACCGTAGTCTAGGGGTAACGTTCCCACCTCATGACTCAAGGTACGCGGGTTCAAACCCGGCGGAGGTCGTGGAATTTTTAAGGTCGGAAAAATTCAGGGAACAAGTCCTCCGGGAGGGACTTTAAGCCGTGGGTCCCGTGTCGTACCTCATGTCTCAAGGAGGCCTCTGAGCCAAATTATAAGGAAATTTCCCGCCCAACAATAGTCTCTAACGCCTCTGGTAGATGGGGGAAGCATCTAGATACCGCTGAGCCAGTAGAGGCCGAACTCGCTGGCTGAGTCGGGACTGATGGCTCGCACCAGTGCCGGGCGGG